CGTGCATTAGGCTCTGGATTTGATCCCTAGCACCTCCCCTCTTCCCCCAGAAAGAATCCAGCACAGACCCATATAACAAGAATGTAAGTCTAGAAGAGGCAGATTGTGCAGTGTAGTTTTAGTGTTGTCACAGTTTATTAATATCTTTTGAGATATTCACTGAGCTCGAAGTTGCATATTCTTGAGGAAGCTATTGTGTATGGAGCAGTGGGTAGGGAGTGAGGTTTGGATTCAGACTACTGTCACTTAAGAATGATTGACCCAGGGAGAATCTGATCTTCCAGTGCCTTCACCTATAAATGCCACATCGTGGGCTCTTATGAGGTTTCAGGGATCTGTACTAGGTTTTGCATAATTACGGTGCCTGTTGACTGGGAGAGGCTTGTGGGGATGGGAGTGGGGCTTTAGACGCTTTCCCTCCAGTTACGGGAATAGTACATCCATTTTTATGTTTTTAATGAAATACTCTTAGAGGACTGGAGGTGTGGCTCAAGTGGTAAGTTGCCTGCTTTGCAAGTGGGAAGCCCTGAGTTTAAACCTCAGTCCCACCAAAAAAAATCAAAAACCAAAAAAACCTCAAACTATTTGACAAGTGCGTGTGATATATACTTCATGGATTATTGTAATGTGCGATTATTTTTAGCATATAGAGGCAGGATCTAGTTTTTATGAGAATTATTTTTTATTCCCACCAAACCTTGGCCTGACTGGATTTGGACAGAATGATAGGTGCTGACATAAGGCATAGTACTAGTGTCTTCCACCAGACCCCTGTTTTCAGTGTTCAGACTTAAAGTGCTGTGAAATGGACAGGTGCTTTCCCTCTGCTCTGAAAGTCACATACACAGGGTTCCAGGGAGGGAGTGGTGTTTGGCATTTCCTCCTTTTTTTTTTTTTGGTGGGACTGGGGTTTGAGCTCAGGGCTTCACACTTGCAAAGCAGATGCTCTACTGCTTGAGCCACACCTCCACTCTATTTTGCTCTGGTTATTTTGGAGATGGGATTTCACAAACTATTTGCTTGGTTGGCCTTAAATCTTGATTCTTCCAATCTCCATCTCCCAAGTAGCTAGGATTTAGGCATGAGCCATCGGCACCAGATGCTTCTTGTCTCCTCTAGGACCTCTGCAAAATAATAGTCCTTTTCCTTGGTAGGTATTTCACAGTGTTGGAATCTGTTTACCAGAAATCTTTGATGTTATTTATTAGTTTTTTAATTGCAGCTTTATTGAGATACAATTCATTTGTCATGTAATTTGTCCATTTAAAGTGTAAAATAGTGTTTTTTAAGTTTATTCACAGAATTGTACTACTGCCACAATGTAATTTTAGAACTTTGTATCACCTTACAAAGAAACCTCATCTATCTACTAGCGGTCACATTCTCTAGTCACTCACTTCTCTGCCCTAACCCACTAATAATCACTAAACTACTTTGTGTGTGGGTTTGCTTACTCTAAATAACTTATGTAAATGGGATCATGTCTTGCTTTTTTGTTTAGAGTGTTTTTAAGGTTCACTCATGTTATAACGTGCATGTATCAGTATTTCATTCCTTTTTGTTGCCAAGTAATTATTTCATCGGAATGGATTGGCCATTAGATTGATATACTATATTTTGCTTATTTATGGGCATTGGATAGATAATACCATATTTTGTTTATTCATTAGTTTGTGGAAAATTGGAATTGAAACAAAAGTTACTTGGTATACAGAAAGCATTTAAATAGCCATATTACAATTTATAATAAATAACAAATATGTGCCAATTTGTATATATAATCCTAGCTACTCAGGAGGCAGAGATCAGGAGCATCGTGGTTTAAGGCAGCTGGGGCAAATGGTTAACAATTAATGAGACCCCCATCTCAATCAATAAAACTGGATGTGGTGGCATGTGTCTGTCATCCCAGCTGGTTGGGAAGTATAAATAGGAGGATTCCCATCCAGGATGGCCAACACATAAAAGTGAGATCCCATCCAAAAAATAAGCAAAAACGGCTGGTGGTGTGGTTCAAGAGGTAGAGTGCCATCCTAACAAGTGGGAGGCCCTGAATTCAAATCCTAGTACCACCAAAAAAAAAAATATATATATATATATAGTCTAACAAAATTTTATTGTTTAATTGGAAGAATTTTGTTCTGGGGATGGTGGTTTTAGGGTTTTGGTTATTTCCATTTTAGGGCTATTAAAAATAATGTTCCTAGGATCATTTGTGTCTAAGTTTTGAGTGGACAGTTGTTTTCTTTTCTCTTGGATATGGGTGCGGGAGTGGAATTACTGAGATCATATGGTAACTCTGGGTAATCATTTGAGGGACTACCAGGAGGTTTTCCAAAGCAGCTCTGCTGTTCAAAGTGAGGTCCAGTCACTTCACACATTTGTTACTGTTTATCTTTTGATGAAAGCCGTTCTGGTGGGTGTGAGGTGATAGTTCATTAGGCTTAGTTTGGGGAGCCAGCAGCAGGAAAGGAAGTGTGTTGCATTGTTCAGTGCGGTAGTCACCCTATGTACAACTTTAAACAAAATTTAAAATTCAGTTCCTGCCTTTGTGGTGTGGTGCTTTACTCTTGTAATTCCAGCTACTCGAGAGGTGGAGATGAAGAAAATCATTACAGTTCGAGGTCAGCCCAGACAAAATATTAGCAAGATCCCATCTCAGTCAAAAAGCTAGGCATGGTGGTATGTGCCTTTGACCCCAGCTATGTGGAAGGCCAGAGATCAGCCCTGAGGTTAACCTCAGGCAAAAACACCAGACTGTGCCTGAAAAATAACTTAAAAGCAAAAAGAAAAAGAAAGAAGGAAGGGAAGAAGGGAGGAAGGGAGGGAGGGAGGGAGGGAGGAAGGAAGAAAATTCCTTTATTATACTAGCTACATTTTAAGAGCTCAACCCATTTAAAGGTAACTGCTAATGTCTACCCTAGTAGTACAGTTAGATACATGGAACATTTTCATCATTTCAGTAAGCTCTGTTAGATAGTGCTGGTCTAGAAAATGTCAATTTGATGGGGCTGGAAGAGGGGGCAGAGAATGTCAGAGTCTGAGTGGCATAGTAGAAAGGAGTGCAGGCATGAAATTTGGAAGGGGGAAGAAAGAAATTAAGGGGAGTCATTTACTAGGCCTGAGGCTTAGAGAAGCTCAGAACTGGGAAATTGAAGGAAAGTTTCTTAGAACTTGATTTATTTTTTCCTACTGTACTTTAATTTATTGAGTCAATTCAATCTATACAGTTCTTTTTCTAGGTGGGAAAAGTGTAAATTGCTTACTGGCAGGGATCAATATGACTGAATATTGCTCCTGTTGTGGGAAACTCCTTTACTTTGATCACTTTCCATATCATCGAGGAAGGTATAGGAAATAGATGGTACAGCTGACATACAGGGAGTGCTTACTGTGGACAAATCACTCAAATGGAATAGGAGCTGGAAAGTGAAAAGGTTAAGAGTGGATAGGTAATTTTCAAATAAGGAATAACCAGGAAATTGTTGGAAGCTAGAGAAGAGATTCTCTGAGGTTTCACTGTTTTCCTGTGTTCTTTCTGCTCCAGGGCCTTGTGTTAAGGGTAGAGTCCCCTCACCCTGTCTCACTGTTCCATTACCAGCCTAGAAGGTACAGTTGGTATTATGTCAAGGCAAAATTAATCTGGATAGTTCAAGCACAATCTAGGTAAAATGCTCAGTAAGGCTATTGAAATGAGCCTTTTCTTTTCTAAAATGTTGTTCTATTTTTTAATAGTGTGTGGAAATAGATAAATCTCTTTTGTGTGTATGTGTGCGTGCTCAGTATGGGTGGTCAGTCATCATAAAAAGCTATCTTATGTTCAGAATGGGCTTTCATTTTTAATTATATAACTGTCCAAAATGATCCATAGTATCCTTCCAAGCATGGTGTTATTGTAGAGATTGCTTTTCTAGCTCAGTTAATAAACACGTTTTAAGGGCTTATTTAACTTCAGCTTTTTATGCTGCCCCTGTTATTCCAAGTCCTCCAACTGTGAAATTAAATGTATACCACTTAGTCAGAAGACTTGTCATATTCCTTACAGGTGTGTAGAATGATGATATTTTCTGAATCAGCAATTGGGGCTAATTCTTTGATAAAGAATTTCTGGGGCTGGTGGAGTGGCTGAAGTGGTAAAGCCCCTGCCTAGCAAGCTGAGGCCCCTGAGTTCAACCCCTGGTACGAGGGGAAGGGAGAATTTCTGGGCTGCTTCTTGATAAAACAGGTGTGCTGGGATATATATTTAGATATCAAATGTTGGGATTTCTGGGATATTCTGCTGATGATGTGGGACTATCACAGTTTGTTTTTACAGTTTAAATTATGATTTTATTAACTTTAAACAAATAATTCATGCATGCGTACTAAAATTTAAAGGTACATAGGAAATGCAGTGAAAACATGATCTCCATCTTCACAAGTTTTTTTTTCCTTCATTTTTTTGGCTGCACTGGGGTTTGAACTCAGGGCCTCATGCTTGCTAGGCAGGCACTCTTACTGCTTGAGCCACTCTGCCAGCCCTTTTTTTTTGTGATGGTTTTTTTTGAGGTAAGATCTGGCAAACTGTTTGCCCTTTGCCCGGGGTTGGGGTTAGCTTCCTTATCTCTGCGTCCTGAGTAGCTGGGATTATAGGCATGAAATTAGTGCTTTGTTGGGATAATTTGGGAGGAATTATTACCTACCCCAGATACCTGAAGATTTGCTAATTTCCAAATGCCACTTTGATTATTGCTTCACTAATGTTGTAGATAATGTATTCTGTGTTTTATTTACTCAGTTCTCTTAAAGATGTAGGTTATTCTTTTTACTGAGTGAACTACAATGCACAAAGTTTTAAATTAGTAATATTTAAGGAGGAAGCCTTAAGAACAACTTATTTTCTATAGGGACATCTAGTTTTCAAATATTTTTATTTATCACGTGACAAAATTTTTCAAAAACAGGTATCTAAAGTCTGCCTTCCAGTTTTGCTCTCAGTGTAATGGCATTTCTTTCCACAGATTTGATTGTAAATGCATCACCAAGAGGCAGCCCAGCATGAAGAAAGCAAGCAGAAGTGTTGGCTCGGTGCCTAAGGTGTCTGGGACAAGTAAAACACAAGCAATAGAAAAAAATAAGCCTGAAAACAGCTCTTCAGCATCTACAGGAGGCAAACTGGTAAAACCTGGAACAGCAGCATCATTGTCAAAGGTATTAGTATGATGATACTTGCATATACGATGGATTTTAGGAGGAGTGCATTTTAATATGATGTTGAATTTATTAAATGAGTATTACTTAGGGTTCACCCTCTACTGATATTGGAAACACATAACCTTTGAAGAGAGCTTACAGGGGGTGGTCTTAAGTGGTGTTTTGGTCTGTCTTTATGAATGAAACTAGTAATAGGCTTTGTGTGAAACAAATAATTGAGTACCTGCCTTGTGTAGGACTTTGTGCTTGTGTGAACTAAAGGTAGAGTCTGCCTTCAGGGGGCTTGTGAAGTAAAGGCTGGAGGCGAGGTGTGAAAACAAACAACTGAAACACACATGGAAAATGTCAGATGCCCTGGGGGAACAGGAAAGCAGTATGGACAGTTTCAAGTAGGAAGATACTGTTTTTAACCCAGGAAGGATTTGTGAAGAGAGCATGTTAGCTAAGTGTTCAAAGATGACCAGCTATAGCATTCCTAGGACCCCTAGGCAGGAGTTTTTAGTTCCACCACACACCCTTACATACCATAACTTCTTTTTTTCTTTCTTTTTTCCTTAGTACTGGAGGTTGAACTCAGTTCCTCATGCTTGGCTAGGCAAGTGCTCTACCACTTGAGTCATGCTCCCAGCACTTTTTGGTTTAATTGTTTTGTGTTATAGGGTCTAATGTTTTTGCCTAAACTGCAGTCCTCCTATGTATGCTTCCCATATAGATGGAATGACAGGCACATGCCACCACATCCAGATACTGGTTGAGATAAATCTTGCTCACCTTTCTCCTGGGCTGACCTTGATGTGCAATCTTCCCTATCTCTGACTCCCCAGAGGCTAGGATTATAGGTGTGAGCCTGGCCTTCTTTTTCTGAGAGCTGATCTGTTATTAATCCTAGTTAAATTGAGGATTTTAATTTGGTAAGAGAATAATTACTCTTCAGTACACTCTTAGAGACTTTGTTGTTGTTGTATAGAATAGTAATTAATTAGACCATGAGCTTTGGGAGCAGACAGACCTGATCTCAGTACCTGCTTCAAAGCGCTATGGTGATGCTTAATGAGGGTATAGAGGCGGGCGCTCTACCACTTAAGCCACACTTCCAGCCCCCTAAGTGACGGGATATATAAAAATGGATAGCACAAAGCCTGTTACAGAGCAATTAGTTAGCACATTTTTCTTGGTTACAAAATATTCTCTACCTGGGGATTGATTCCTGAATATATATATTTTCCCATGGGGTGTTCTCAGTGCCTGTATTGGTTTGGGCCATCCAAGGGACAAGATTGGTCTGTTATTTTTCTGTTGGTCCACTCTGATGTCATTGCATGGAGATCCACCCAGTAGTCTTCTGGTCTTTCTCAGTTCAGAATTCATTTGTTTTGTTCTCCACTTGTTTGTTTGTAATGTTTTGACTAGAAACTTTGACTCTGTGTAGAAATCCAGGATGGGGTTTCTGCTAGTCTGATAGGAAGACAGCAAGTACAACCTGAAACATAAACTATTCAGAAGCCTTTTGTCCAGACAGAGTCTTGATAGAGTGTGACTTAATTATTATTTTAAGAAGCACCTCAGAAGAATAGCTGGTAAAGGATTTTCTTACATGTGTTGAAAGATCTAGCAGGAAATGCTGGTTTTTCTGTTCTGAGGTTGTTTACAATAAACTCTGGCTTATTCTGTGGGCTTGGAGAAGCCCCCAGTTTTCTCTTTGCTACAGCCCTGATGTACTAGGTATCATCGTATGACCTGGAGGATGGTATTAGGAATAGGTGTTTGCCCTACTTCCGTTACTCTGTATCAGTACCCTGAAGTATTTTCTTGGTGGTCATGCTATCACTTTTTCATATAAGACAGGTGGCGTTTTCTTACCTAACTTGTTACTCAGTTGCTGTGGCTGTCTTTAGTATGGAAGGCCTGTGTGACTGGGTGACCTGTTATTTGTATGACTGGAAGAACAGGTTGATACATACACTACTGCCTTCCTCTGTGGCCTCCATGTCAGTGGCAGACAGTGTCTTTGAAGATTTACTATGGAGTGTGCACTGAGCAGGCATGTCAGATCTTCTGAGGCATGGATTTGGAGTTGCTGGTAGCTTGGTCTTGAACAGTGAGTACTTTTCCATTGTAAAGTAAATCTGTACACCACCTCTTGCCAGCATGTGATTGCTGTCTGTTCCTTTGGCTTTGCTGCATTGGCAAGTTTAAGTAGAGGTGTGTGTGTGTGTGTCAGAGGGTTTTTGAGGGGTTGGATATAGCTCCCTGACAGAGCTCTGGCCTAGCCAGAGGTTCAGTCCCGAGAATTGCAAGAAAAAAAAAAAGAAGAACTGTAAGTCTGCTTCATCTTAAGTGTTATTTTTTTAAGTTATCTTATTTGACTATTTCTTTGGTACATGATACGTTTCATAACTTAAATCCCCATAACCATGAAGGAATATAGATGAGGACCTAGATGAATGAAGTGTTTGTTTTTTAATTATTTGGAATCATGTACACATACTCACCCTTTCATGTGTGGATTCCTTTGTATCTGTCTTTCACAGTATTCTCATGTTGCTTTCTTACAGTAACAGGATATAGAGATGTGCATTTTCTCACTTAAACCTCATTTCAAATACTGCTTGAGGCTAGATCTAATTGAGAATGAAAAGGAAGGGCCTTTTGATTGAGTACCTACCTGCTGACCGGAGCTTTGATGACAAACAAAGCACTGTTGCTGTTTGCAGTGAGTTTTGAGGAGGTTGTTTCCATTCTTGTCAAGAGGTGTGACATTTGTTTTTTGGGCTTTTGCATGGTCTTTGTGAACAGCCACTAGAGAGGATGCTTTTCCTTGTAGAGGTGGTCCCCTAGATGCCTGCACCTTCCAGAGCTTTGCTACTGTTCATGTGTTCCTGATTACTGCTTATAAAAGCAATATACTTTTTCATTATACTGGAGAATACTTTTTTCCTAAAAATTGTTAGTTTGGAATTAATATGCTTTAGTCAGAGTCAAAATAATTGGTGACTCTTGATTATTTGTACTTATATAGCTTTTTGCAGCCTTAACCTTGTAATACAAGGTAGCTTAGTGGTAGCGTGCTTGCTGAGCATTCACAAGGTCCTGGATTTGGATCTCCAGTACCACCAAAAAAAAAAAAAGAAAGTCAACAGTATGAGCAATCCATCTCCGAAACTTGAAAGGTAAAATTTGAAAACTAATCTTAAATTTTTTTTGTGGTGCTGGAGTTTGAACTCAGGTCTTACACCTTCAACTACTCCACCAGTTCTTTTTTGTGTTGGGTTTTTCCAAGATAGGGTCTCGCAAACTATTTGCCTTGGCTGGCTTCAAACCACGATCCTCCTGATCTCTGCCTCTAGGATTACAGCTGTGAGCCATTGGTGCTGTACCTAATCTTAAAATTTGAGGTAAAGGTACACTTTAAGACAGTTAGGTTTGATTTTGAGAAGTATATAATACTTTGTAGTATTTCAAATATCTGTATTTGGAATATTTTTAACAAATGACAGATTTCGCAAGTTATTAAAACTAGACCAGGATGACAGTGACTCACACCTGTAACCCTAACTATTTGGGAGGTGGAGATCAAGAGAATAGAGGTTCAAGACAGCTTGGCTAAAAAATACAGTGAGACCCCATCTCAACCATAAAAATCCGCATTGGTAAGCACCTGTCATCCCAGTAAGGAAGAAAGTGTAAATAGGAGAATTTTGGTCCAGGCATAAAAATGAGACTTTATTAAAAAAATAACAAAAGCAGAAAGAGCTGGGGTATGGTTCAAGTGGTAAAGCACCTGCCTAGCAAGGACAAGGCCCTGAGTTCAAACTGCAGTACCACCAAAACAAAACAAAGTACACTGTTTTTTTAAATCAATTTCATGCTCTTTTCTTTTTCCTCTTTTCCCTTCCCTTTCTCCTTCCCTTTCTTTTTTCCTTTCCTTTCCCCTTTTCTTTCCTTCTCTCCTTTTCCTTTGCCTCCCCTCCTCTCCTCTCCTCTCTCTTCTCCCCTCTCCTTCCCTTCTTCACCGTCCCTCCCCTCCCCCTTCCTTTCCTTTAGAATTGAACTCTAACACTTAAGCCACACCCCCACTCCTAATTTCATGTTTTTGGATTGTTGTTGATGGGAAAAGTTTATGTGTGGAATGCACATGCATCTACAGAATCATGTAGCAAAATTAAAAGAAATAGGGAAAGATAGCAGCCAGCCTACAAGTAACTTAGTGTAAAAGGCAAGTTGGAAAGTGCAAAGTTGTTTTTTACTTTGTTCTTGTAGAGCATACATGAAAAGAAGTTCACAGAGCATAGATACTGAGCTTAGTGAATCACTATAAGGTGAACATACCCTGCAGCCACCATCTAGGTCAGGAAATAATAGCTTATACTGCCCCTCAGATGGTTCCCTGATGGCCCAGGTAATCACTGCCCTTCCTGTCCTCCCCAGAAGTAGCTACCATGCTAATGTGTACAACCAGAGATTAATTTTACCAGTTTTTGATCTTTGTATAAATGGAACCATATACTCTTGTTTTTACATGGACCTTTTTCCATATTGTTAGATGTAATAGCAGTTCTTTACTCTTTGTTGCTGATTAGTAGTCCATCCGATGAATATACTACAATTATCTGCTCGTACTGTTGAGGGACTTTGGGAGTTTCTACTTTGAAGAAATTAAGATCAACATTGTCAGAAATGTTCTTATACACATATTTTTAAATTGTAAGAGTGTATCATTTCTGTTGGTTGTATAACCCAGAGTGAAATTGCTGGGTCATGGGGTATGTGCATCTGTTTAACTTTAATAGGACACATTGCTTCTCAGTGGTTGCCAGTTCATAGTCCTGGGCTCTGCATGTTCTCACTTGCGTTTACATTGTTATTCCTTTCATTTTAGCCCTTCAGCAGTGCAGAGGAATCGTGCAGCGGCTTTAATTTGCATTTGTATTGTTACTGAGATTGTGTACTTTTTTATATCTACTTGATTTAAAAAAAAAGATTCAGAGGACTGGCAG